TTCTCATCAACCAACACCCCCAAGTCCTTCTCCTCAGGGTTGCTTTCAATGCATTCCCCGCCCAGCCTGTATTTATGCTTGGGATTGCCCTGACCCACATGCAGGACCTTACACTTGGCCTTGTTGAACTTCATAAGGTTTGCACAGGCCCACCTCTCCAGTCTGTCTAGGTCCCTCTGAATGGCATCCCTCCCCTCCAGCGTGTCAACTGCACCACACAGTTTGGTGTTCTTGGCAAACTTGTGGAGGGTGCCCTCCATCCCAACATCCATGTCACCAACAAAGATGTTAAACAGCACCGGTCCCAGCACCAACCCCTGAGGAACACCACTTGTCACTGCTCACCACTTGGACATGGAGCAACTGACGGCAACCCTTTGAGTGTGACCGACCAGCCAGTTCCTTATCCACTGAGTGGTCCATTGGTCAAATCCATGTCTCTTCAAATTAGAGACCAGGATTTTGTGTGGAACAGTGTCAAATGACACGATGTTGCAGAGACTAAAATGAATCTGCTTAAGAATGGTAATTAACACGTTAATCCAAGTGATATTTATTAAACATGATGGAGCAGATGCTTATAAAGTTCTTAAACATCAATTCCCAGAAGCTAGGAGCATGTCATATGAAAATAATTACTTCACTTAAACCCCCAAGTGTCCTATCTTCTTTAGGAAACCAGTATTTGCCACAACTGTTTTCTAGACTGGAGGTAGCCATTCCTAAGGTGCAGAAGGCAGGTTCAATTCTACTGGAAGTGCTCATCCTCACTCTGGATCCTCTCACATGCTTTTAAATGAAAGTAGTAATATTTCCTATCCTTTGCCTCAGAATGGGCTTCTTTAATCTAAGGTTTTCTTCAAACCAAAACTGAATTAGAACAAAAGGAATCTCTAAATATGATACACTCAACATCTGGATAACACAGAACAGAGGGAAACGTGGTTCCATTTTCTTCTAGACCTTATTTCAAAGCAGCCCACTTCCCAGTTCTGCAGACAAAGGCAAACACCAGATTGAAGATATCCTTGTCCCCATTTTCTCCTCAGCAAACCCCAGCAGCTTCAGTCTAAACTTGTGCTGACTTTGAAGCAAAACTGTTTCACTCCTCCTTTCCAGAAGGTGCAGACACTGTGGGAGTGCAGAGTTTCAGACCCTGTCAGTGTGAAACATTCCCCTCTGCTGTAAACCCAATACAACAAGAACATGCATGTGCACCTTAGATACTTCTACCACCTCCCACAGAGCTGCAAGTCCTTTTGTAGAAAGAGGCAGTTGAAATAAGTCTCCAACTGTAAAACAAGTGTGAAACTCCAGTGATCAAAAGTTTTGAGCTGTTTTAAGGAGGGAGGGCTTTGCCGAGTATCTGCGTTATGTTTATGCATGGAAGAGAGACAGTCCAGCCTGAGAAGCAGTCAGCTCAAACAGCTTTGCACTTCCCTTGTCTAATAGCCTAAACAAGAATGGGCATGTTGTTCCAAGAAATTCAGAAAGATGCTTTTGCCTTGAAACGTCAGTCATGCAATCTCCTAGCTCTTCCAGTCAACTCCCAGCTGTTCTGAGTCCTTAGAGGAAAAGCAGGGGGTTTTTGCATTCTTTTAAACTATCAGAGCTGAATCACTGCTGCTGCTCCAGGTAAGCAAAACAGATAAAGGAATAAGCAATCAGATGCTTAAAATTCTGCCAGATACTTTGCTGCAAAGACTGACACAAGCTTGTTTTAATGCATATCGTTACCGAGATCATTTTTCATTCCCTGCTTTAACAGATGACAATCAGTTTAAGAAAAAACAAGCTGAAAAGCTATTAAAGACTTCTGCTGGTTTTAATTGCACTATTCTATGCTCTACAAAAAGCACAGAGGAAACACAGTGATACTTGAATCTTTGTCTCAGCCTACTTTGCAGAAGGATAATGATATGCTACTTTGTGCCCTATTACCATCCCAGAAATAATGAAGGCAATAAAATAATGAAACCAATGAAAGATATGGCCAAGGGCAAGGTGCACAGTGACAACAGTGTCTCAACTGAATTCTGTGCTGCTTTGAAAGTGGATATATTGCTGACAGTGTATTATATATGGAAAATACGGAACTGCAACTGGTAAGGTGAAATTCTTCTTCTATGAAGATCTAATATTGCTCAGTGGTAACACCCTTTCATCCTAATCTTCTACCTGAAGACAAAAGGGAACTCCAAAACTGAAAATACATATTTAAATCTTGGTTCTCTAATACTTAGAGGCCTTACATTTAGCTCAAACTTTTCTGGAAAATTCCACATTACCTCTCTACTGATACTAATGGATGGTATATCTGTGTGTGTACAGGCACATGTAAAGGAAAGTACTGTAGAATTATACAAGAGAAGGAAATCGCTTTTTATTAGAGAAACACATCTTGAAAGCCTGCTATAACAGAAGAGTTAACAAAAGAAATACACTCTCAAATGAAATACTGTTTTTTGCAAGCCTGCGACGTTTTTAAAAAAGTGGTATAATTATGTGTAGGCTATAAATATTTCTTAAGTTATAACAGTCAAATGCAGCTTACCTTGTAGTAAAAAAAAATTCAAATACTTACTTATGCATAGTCAGCATTTCATTAAGTGCTACATTGAGCTTTGTTTTTTCAAATATTTCAGTGAAGTTTTTGAACATGAATTTACTTCAAGTGAACAGTTTAGAATACTGAACTATAAGCAACTCCTTCAATTTATTTGCTTTGACAGACGTAAACCAGAATATGCACATACTTTTGGAAGCTTATTTGCATAACATTTAAGGAAACTTATCCAAACAGAAGTCAAAAAGACACAATAAATAAAGAGAAAAATTATGGAAAAGAAAAGCAAAGACCTCTTTTTCCTAGACAAATGTTCCATCAGCAGGAGTCCCATTATTTGTTATAACAATCTTTAACTTGTAATGACTTTGAAGAAGACTAATAACAGACTGGTGGGAACAGATGGAGTGGTGCTGTTAATTATAGGCACTTAGCTGCATCAGACCCCATGAGTTATTACTAACATTTCCCACTAGGGAGGAGAATCACTTGCTTTTAAGTAGTATGTTGCTTACTAAGCTGGGAGCATTAGCAGTTGGGATTGTAGTAATCAGTACTAACAACATAAAACTCAGCTGCAAACAAAAAAAAAAAGAAAATATTCCCTGAATAACCCCCACACTGTTTTTCTTTTTATTTTTTATTTTCCAATCACTTCTAACTATAAAAGTTCTTCCACAAAGATTTAAACTGAGGTCTCACTAATTAAATCTCCCTACCACTCAGCTAAAGAAAGCTACATACCTTTACTGACAACATTAGTTTTCTAAGCATCTGATTAGCAAGAAGATAAAATGAAATAAAGGAAAACCACCCTAGCGTGTATGATAGAAGGTACACAGACCTCCTGAACTGAGTGAAGCCAAGAACCTGCAAAGTGACTCACCACAGAACAAGACCATTTTGCCTTAAACAGGATATTGCTCCAGAGCACCGGCACACACCCTTTCCAATTACCCAACCCAAACATCACTTCTAGGCCGCCTGAGTTTCCTGCTGCATCCTTACCTCAAAACAAGAAACCATCTCCCTTCTGCTTATCAACAAAGTGTCTGGAGGTTATTAAACCCATCTGCTTGCTTAAACATAAACAGTATTTCTCCATGTTATGTATTCAACAAGAAGCTACTCCTATTTGTATGAATCACAGCACAAAGACAACACAATGTTTTTTCATTTGCAAATGCTTATAAGGCCACAAACAGAAGCCACTGTAGGTGTTGCAGAAAACATTTCTGAGGGGACACCAATTCAACAGACCTTTCAAAAAAAGCGTGGAACAAATCCACTGACTATCTAGAAGCCAAATGAACATTGTGAAAAAGCATCCAATGTTCAAAGAGTCTGACGATGTGCCTTATTTGAAAAACTACTATGCATCTTTTGAAGCTTTAAGCAGTGCCTTCATAAACATTAGCGACTGGAAAATGTAGACCATTTAAGAATCCTTATATTCTGATGTTTAATCACACAGTAGAAAACTGGAATGAAATTTGTCTGTGAGTTTTCCATGGATAATTAACTCATTTGTAGTGTACTTACTAGCTAAAAGGACTGATCCATAAAGGGCAAGGGCAAGAAGATGGCTTTTACAACTACCGTGAAAGTAGATGCTAAGAAATACATTAGAAAGAATAAACAAAAACCAGAATTTGGGGTGTAAGTCCACAGAACAGCTGTTTAAAAAAAGCACGCACTGTCAAAAACTAATTACAGATTGCATGAAAGATGACATCAAAACTACTTGCATGCTAAGGGGACACTATGCAAGTCATCTTTCCTTGGAAGTTACTATTTTGGTTGAAGAGCACTCCAGTCTGCAGAGCTCATGTACAGAAATAGGTATCAAAAGTTGCATATACATTTGATCTACCTGAGCCTGTGATTGCATAAAGCCTGACAATTTTCTCAGCAAATAGAGAACTTTAGCGGAAAGTACAAACAGGGGTTATGATCAGCTGACAGCATAACTTTGGTTAGAAGTTATAACTTTCAACAGATCTCAGCGTATATGTAAATAAGCAACACCTTACCTTCCTACAGGCCTTGATCACATACCCCAAGCAAGCATAAGTTGCCTATCAATTTCAACGGAAGCTGCTTATAAGAAATCCAAGAATTTAACAAACTCCCTCCTCTCCCAGGATATTTTCTATAATCTTCCAAATCACTCTTAATGTAGCAATGTACAAATTCACTCCCCACTGATACTTAGGGTATGACCTACCCAATGCATCTAATAATGAAACGCACACATTTGCCAAGGAAGGAGTAGTTGTATTTAATTAAATCTCTTGTCATTCAGGAGATTAAAAAACAAATCCCTCACATTTTATGTTAATATAGTATTGACATTAGGGCAGTTGTTGAAAAAGAAATTTTTCTCCGGTTTCAGGTTACAAAGCCCGAGGAATCCCATATATTTAATACTTACATTCAAATTTGAGGACCCAACATCCAGTCAGAACAGCCATCATACATTTGACAGTACTTGGCATTGGAACATCAGGGATAACAAGATGAGTTACTAGGAGAAAGATTACATCAGTAGAAGTAAGAGCACGTAAAAATCAGAGCCATGCCTGCCTGAAAAGCGATCAATCACCATTTAAAGAGTAAACTGACTATAATAATTTATGACCCACTCTTTTCAGCACAAGTATGTGATTTTTGAGACTAAGATATGAGTAAGTAGAAGAGCTATTAAAAGTTTTGTGGGTTTCAACATATACTTGCTGTGAAAAAGAGAAGCCATGTTTTCATAGTTCTAAGCTAACACTTAAATCTTCAAAGGAGGCCCTGTTTTATAGTACAGTACTTTTTGTCCAATCCTTTTAAAGTTATATTTAACTCTGACAGGAATCTTACTTTGGAATCTCACTGCTTTAACACAAAGCTAACAGAACTCAACTCAATTCTGGAGTAGTAATCAGGGTGTGAAAGATGGCAGGGGAAAATTACCCTAGCATTTCTTTCACAAGCAGGAGAATCAGCACTCAGGAAAAACTAATAGCAGGGATTAAGACAATGTTACCCCCCTCAAAAGGGAACAAAAAAACCCCCACCAAAACCCCAAGCCACATAATTTGGCTCCATCCTGTTAATGAAGAACAAAATTTGAAGGAAGGTAGCATGTGAGAAAAAAAAATTGCCAACTTTTAGTCAGTGACATGCTCTTTCTAAAGGCACCATCTGCCTAAGGCTCACTTCTGGAAGATAAAAACCTTACAGGATGTACCATATGAACCTTCGTAAAAGTTGATAAAAGCAGCATAAAGAGGTCTTTGAGGAGAACTTATGGATTTTAAGTAACAGACAATATACTGTCAAACTGTGGCTCCCCCAGAAGCTTCCCACCTCGGTAACCAGGCAAGGCTTTACGTGCATTTACACGTAACACAAGACATCATCATTCTACTACTGGTATAATTCAGGGATTTCAGAAACTGCACTTATCAGGTACAACAAATAAAACCGTGTTGCAGCTAGTATTTTAAAGGATAAAGTGCAGAACTGTAGTTACTTATATTTGGACACAGACATTTCAACAAGACTGCATACCTCTGCTGCTAAATTCAGTACACTTCCGAGCCTTCAGAACTGTTGCTAGTTTGATCAGCAATTTCTGTTGCTCCGAACTAAGACTGCTCCCTAGTATAACAAGAGGTCCATCTCTTTGCTGGCTGGGACTCAGTGCCTACATGAACAGAAAGTCCTACAGTAAGCTGAATGTTTGGGAACATAAAGAAAGCAACTAACTTGTTTGACAGATTTATGTAACAAAGAATAAGCATTCTGAAAAACAATTCATGGCAAGCCTAGGGGACAGGGTCCATAAATAAATCTCTGTGTAACAAATAAGCTCTAGAGGAAAAAAGCTTGGTATTAGAGGTGCATCATTTAGCTTATGCAAGGTACTAAAAACAGCTTGTGCATAATTTTTTTTCTTCTTTAGCTTTTTTTTTTTTTTACACAACACTGGTGTGCACACATTTAGCTGGTTGAACATTGTGTAAACAGCCTTGCTGACTGCAGTGTTGAAGGAGAAAAAAAATCTCCCAGTGAAATAGTAAGCCTCTATTTTTAGTGATGTATTACCAACAGATACACTACCAATATGTTGAGTAACCTACATAATTAAACACCTGCATCTCCTTTTACTAAAAAAGTCCCTAATACATTGCCCTGTAGGTAATGAATGCCTAAGTTTTTTCATGCAGATACTACGAATGCAAAGTAAGAGGAGCTGCTTGCTAAAGTTTTATGCTGACAAAAAGATGTAATACTTCACCTCCTGGGTCTTTGTAAGTACTCCCAGATTCCTTAGTACAGACACACCTTTGAGACCCAGATACCCTAAAGCCTCAGATTTTGGATCAAGTCATCCATACAAGTTGGTAGCCATCCACTGGCATGCACTCACCCCAAAGCAAACGCAAATATTGCGTGTTTTGTTTGCAACAGAAAAGCTGCATCTTGCATTTGCTGCAGGTGGGAATAACAGCGATATCCTTGCTGATTTAGCTCCAACAGTTTACTTCTGGCCAATGGGTATCTTATTACCTCAATGAGAAGGGTCCACAACAGGCTGTACACCCTGGAGTAGAATAGGACTGCTTGTATCAGCCAGGTGAGTCTAATCATCATCCATTTGGAAGCACAAGGCATTTCATAACGCAGTTAACTTGTCAAGTCTGAATAGCCTGATTTTGGTTAGAAATCCTGAGAACTCTTTGGCAAAACAGGGGGCGGGAAACAAAAACAAAATCCCCAAAACAATCTTCAAAAAGCTGTTTCCAACTGCTGAGCTGCTATCTTCATTGCTGGACAAAGAACAACACTGGAACAGCCTTTTAAAGCCACACAAAAAGCACCTGGAGCAAACACTGCTGCTGCTTTCAGCCAGTTTGGCCAGTAGAACAAATTTAAATATGCAGAAAACAGCAACAATAGCATGTTCAATCAACAATATTTCAGGAATATTTCAGTGTTCATTCTCCTATAATAAAGCCACATTACAAGAACCATCCTTTGTTTTCCCAGATAAAGCTTTGATAACACAGAATACCATAGCTTGTAAGTGTCCCGCGTACATTCTGGAAATACTGTCTGAGTTAGTATCCCAACCTATTTTACATGTTCCTGTAAAGGCAGGTGATGTTCTGTACTTAGGTCCAAGCCTTCAATACTTACAGGATAAAATTATGTTTTTTAAAAAGCAAAACAAAACAAAAACACACTTACCTCAGAGGGTCGGTTAAGTGAAAATGATTCATTCTTCACTGGCAACATTAGCACAGCCTTCATCTTTTCACTTTCTGCATAGTCTACAGGCCGCAGACCAAATATATTACTGGCAAAACAAGCACAGATGGGTTTAAGTAAATAAAATGTGACCTGATTCTTAACTAACTGGGCACATTAGCTGTGTAGCTTTCCCTCCCACTTTCTTATTAATATGTAGTTTCAGCTAAAAACCACAAAATTTCAAGAATTGCATCCAAGACAGATGGATACTGAATTACAAGCTGCTGCATTCAGCTGATTAAGGAATGTTCAGAGCTGTATGTTCAGTTAAGTAAGCCACAGTCCTTGTTAAACTGTTTCAAGATGCACTTTGATATCATTCACACGACCCAGAAATTTCAGCTTTAGTCTTTCATTGCAGTCATATAACCAAGAAAAACGTATTTTTGGCTTACCCATTTGCCATAAAAGACATGTCAGAAGATTCTACATACTGTGGTAAACATTGGAGCTTGAGGTGGTTATGCTTTTATGGGAAAAGCTATGTGCTTCCTACTCGGGAACTGTGACTCCCTCGCACTTCCAAAATTTGAGTATGCATCTCATTTTCCCTCAGTGTGATGTTCCACAGAACACATTACAGCCAATTCATTCAAATTTTAGTTGTTTTGCCAATTTTGTTGAACGCTACCCATCCTATGTGGCACCTCGTAGTTATTAGATATGCTTCAAGACCCATTTCCTCCCCCGTTCTTTTAGCATTACTCAGACAGATATGATTTGCTATAAACAAAACATCAAGCACAGCCATGGCTTCTATCTCTTCTTCACACAACTTTGCAGTTGCAGGACAATAGTGAGTGGAGAAAAGCTTGAAACCGCAGAACAGGTATAATTGCTGTTAACAAACACGGTCCTTTGCCAGCACTCTTGGGAATTATTGTGCTTGCTTTGCCCTTTGCAAGAATAATGGCTGTTCCAGCTGATCCTCTTCTCCCCACCTCACGTAGCTCTGGCTCTCAAAAGGCATAATAAGAGCTCGTTATGAAGAGGAAGCTTGTCACCGAGAACAAAGCCCTGACTCAGTATCTGAAATCCAGCAAGCTTAGTCATCAAACAATGAAACATTTAAAGAGGTCAAAAAACCACTGCATCTTCGAAGTGCTGTCTCTTAGTTAGCCACATGTTCCTGTGCAGAGTAGGAATCTAGGAAGATTTATAGGGAATTCCACATAAGGCCATAACCCAAACCAGCCCAAAGAGAAGCTCCAATCATTAAGTCTTCACTCTGACTTAACTGGGAGGCTTTGGCCACTGCGAAGCTGAAAGATGCATCTGACCTTAGCACCTTTCTATGCTCCTGACTGAGCACTGCTCACTAACACAGCCTCTTGGGAAAACAACAATCCACGAAAATCCCACACAGAAGATTCTGGGGTGGTATTTTACAATTGCTAATTTTACAATATTACCAACCCCAAGCTCTTCTGTGTTACTAATGAGCGAAGAGCTAGCATAATACAAACTCTGCAGACTAAAAGATAATTGGTTAAATCTCAGCTCAGTCCTGGGAGTTGCAGCCCATTAAATATTGTCATGCTGTTCCTGCTTTGTCATGCATCATCAGGGTACCTCTTGCCCTTTCTTTAAATAAGCGCCATATTCGACTCAAACTGCTGCAGGACAGAGTTCCTTTGAACAATGCATCCAGAGAGGGGTGAGGGAAAAAAAATTAGCACATACGCTAAAATCACCTTTAGACTAGATGGTTGACCTTCTACTGTGAACTAAGCAGGGGGAGGAAATCACTGCATGTCAGTAGCAGAGGTTTGGGAGTGTCTACCCCCACAAGTCACGGTAAGATCCTTGATTGTTAGAAAAAGACCTCATGAATGTTTACCATAGATAAATATCTAGGCCAACACATTTAAATATTGTACATTTTTTGCCAATTAAACTGTACAAATAAGAGCTCCAGCTAGTCCTCCTATATTCACTTGAATTTTTTTCATGCATTTTTAAGATCATTTCCATTGCCTCTTACCAGTGTATTGCAAAATGCTATCCTGTCATTATGCAGCATTGAAGAATTAATGGCTATTCGTAGGATGTTAAGGTTGGCACAGTTAAACTAAAATGTGACAAACCTGGGAGCTGAGGTCTGAAAAAAGGAACATCAGCTCAAAGGATGGGTTCAAGAGTTTGGAATATTTGCAACAAAGCAGCTTGTTGAGCTTAAGGAAAGTGAGAAAAAGTAGCTGAAACAGGAAAAAAGAGGGTTTACAAAATAAAAACTAAGACAAGGAACACATCCTAACAACAGATTTCAAGTACAGTATTACTGTAATTTACACATCCTTCCCAAAGAAAAAGGATGAAAACTGGATTCGTTCTTTTTAGTTAACCACCCACTAACCATCCAAAAAGTAAGTAATCATGATCAGAAAGTGACCTTGCCCAGTCTTTGCTGGGCTGATACATTTAACAGTGCAGTTACTCGAGGAACCGTTTTCGATATATTAGGAATGTATATTATTTTGAACCCTACAATCAGCATCAAGGACAGATCTATGCAGCCACAAGAACACCAGCAAGGCATAAGGCACAAGAATGAGAAACAGAAGCTTTTGGCAAAAATGCATGCTCAAATCAGTCTTTGCTCAGCCAAGGTGAGTAAGTGAAATCCTCCACCTTGTTCAGAGTAAAAAATGAATTTTGATCCAGTTTGCAAAATAAAATTGAGACATACACACCCTACCACACAAACACAGAATTTTTAGAAGTATCAGTAACTCTGTGTGCTCCAACTGTAGGTCTGGGTTTGTTGAGAATGGGTCCAGTGCACGTGACTGCTTTGCAGGACAAGTTCCACACTCAGAAGAAAGACACAATTGTTTCTACAAGAGAGAAATAAGTGTCTCTGGCGCTTCACTATAATACAAGGTCTCTAAGGCATACTTCTTTCTACCAGAATGCAAGTGGGCTTTTTGCAAGTTGTTTTAAACATTCAAGAGTCAGATGTATCCTTTGATGCAAGCAGTCTCCTATTAGTCAGTCATCAAGGTACTGAACAGTCAGTAGAGGGCTCTTACAGCTAGAACAAATTCCAATCAAAGAGTAGGATGTCTGTGCTGAGAACAAAGATGAGCCCAATGAAGAGCAACTTAATGTAATCTGCTGAGGATGACTTTACACAAGATGACAGATGATAACTTGAGGACTGACAGATCAAAGAACTTCTTATGAAAAGCTTTAGAAATGGGATTCAGTTTACGGTGCAACATTGCTGAAGTCTTAGGTACAAAGACAACAGAGGTTACTCTTGTAGTCAAAAAGAAAACTTAACAGCTACCTTCTAAATGTTTCAGTAAACTTTCAGGAAATAACCAACCATAGGAGAGAAGATAAATAGGGAGACACACCCTTGTCAATTCTTTAGAAGCCCCAAACTTTCACAGCTTTTGATATAAGCAATTGATGACTATATAATGCTTTGTAATCAGGAGATTTAAGGTGCTCCATTTTGACACCAGAAGTTAATAGCTGTTCCACAGCTGAGTGTAAACGAAGTTTTACCTCAGCCCCACAAAGAGAGTTCAGTATCGAATGGAAGTCCCACAATCAGGTCCCAGTGCAGTGATGTAACCACTAATTCCCATATGAAAATCTGACCAGTTTGGGGCTTTCCAGTCAGCACTCATATTCTAAGAGTGTGGTAAGCAGAAATCTTTTATGAACCTGACGGAAGGAAAAAAATTTAATCTGTGTAGCCAGAAAGACTGTCTTCGATACCCAAACAGGGCCAGTGTTTTAATTAACCTGCTGTCAGCTGGAAGTTAAGCATACTGTCTTGCACTTACACAGCAAAGTCCTGCACTATCTTGACTTAGACAAAGCAGACAAAATTATGTCAGTGTCATGGGTCTAATGCCTCCTGGAATTAACTGCAGGTTGTAATAGTTTTTGCCCCTCTGCTATTCAAATTGAAGACCACGGTCTATCCCTAAGCATTGTCACAGGTTTGTTTAGAATCAGACTCACAACTACTCAAAGACAACCAACACCGAAAAAAAATACGGCAACACAACAATTTTTACTACTGCTAAACTTATTGTGCATGAAGAACTGGCAAGATAGCCCATTTGAGTGAAAGCATTTAGGAAGTACTGTGAAATTGCAAATGCACAGATCTAATTTTTCAAATCACTTGGCTTGCTGTGAAGCAAGGAAAAAAGACAGAATTCAAGAGAGTGAGCACATGAAAAAAGCTATAAAAATATAAATTAGCTATGTGTAGGAGATTAACTTAAAAAAATTAACTAGACCAGCGGGACAATTAATAGGTCCACTGGTCCATATAATATTTTTCATTTGTAGTTTGTATCTTTTCCAGTCAGTGAAAACTTGAAACGGCAAATGAAGTGCCACAACTATTAAATCTTACCGATTTTAAAAAAAAATTTTGCCCAGGAATACTGAAATACTAGGATTGCTTTCCGGATTGCTACCAAAGAGGTAGCTCTCATCCGTATTTGTTTGGTCCAAAAGATATGTAGCTGCTTCATGTTACATACAGTTACTTCTTAATGCACTATGTACCAACACGCAAGGAGAAAAGACTAGCCTGAAAGACACTCAGGATGAGATGAGAATGGGTTTGTGAACCTGGCGTTCTAAATTTGAAATTGCGAAGTCTCAGCTCTCTGATGGCTAGGGTTATGCTAGTATCTGTGGGCCTCAAGAATTGAGGTCCCATAGAAAGTGGCTGTATTTGCTCCCAGATATATCTTACATCCCTCTACAGATCACTGGATCTTACCTACCTGTGTACCTGCAGTCAGTAAATATTGCAGATTTTTAAAAAAATCTTTAATCTTGCACAACTGAGTATCATGCTAAATTTCAAAACTACTGCTGGAAGCAGGATATTCAACACAGACTCTGTTTTACTCCAGTAGATTAACTCTCCAACACACAAGGGAGACACAAATTAAGACACAAAACTGAGTTAATTCTACAGTCAAAACAGCACCAAGACATCAGTCACTTTTTTGGGATTTCATGCTATATATTTCATAGTGTCCCAAGTAATATTTGAATACATTTATCATGTTTACATTTTACTTAGCTTAGCTAAAGGAAAAGACTTTACCAGTGAACTAATCAAACTTTCCTCCACAGCCCACTTTTATATGCTAGGATAAAGAGGGCTCTCTCCTGGGCTGAAAGTTAGTTCATTGAGAGCCTGAAGAGCCCATAAAAGGACTAGAAAGACTTTCATAACAGAAAAAAATACAAAATAAAATCAGATAAATTTATCAGTTTGGCAAAATTGGTTTGGTACAGTCTTAGCTCAAACACTTGCATACCTCTAAAATTAAGACACCCCTCAGGTATATTCCTAAAGAAAATAAACCTTTGAGAAGAGACGCAAGTTCTACTCATCACTGCTCAACTCCTACTTTAAAGATCCCAGAGTGATAAGGTGAAGGTGAGCAAATCCTGCATTAAGTACAAAGAGGCCAATTACAACTAGTCATACTGAAAAGAACTATAATTGCGTCATCTTAAGTGATCGCCCTGTTCTCACCTCCTGTTTTTAAAACTGTGGTCTGCTGGTCTCGGGGATCTAGGAAAAATGTCACTGAAGAAAAGCAAGCTTCTTGTCAGATGTGACTTCATTATAAGGGCACCTGCATCCAGTAGAAAAAAAATATTTAAACCTCCTACATTAAAGAAGGTTCAAATCCACTTACCTAGACAAATCCAACCACTGTTTAATTAGGACCAAAACTACCAGAAGCAGTGGCAGAAAAAACCCTGTAAGATTTGCAAAAATCATGACCCAGGGAAAGATCATAGCACAATTCATTGCTGGAAGCTAGTAGGGCACAGGAAGGAAGGGAGGGAGGCAAAAGACAGATCCTCAGAAGTCTCAGACAAAGTTCTTGTTCCTGTTGTTTCTTGGTAGCATTTGGAAAAGGTCAGTAAAGTCTTACTATTCAAGTCTAAACATTTTGCTTGTACATCCCTTTCTCGATGCCTCTAATGCTCTGTAAAAATGGGAGGGAGGGGTCCCAAGTCTTTCCATCATCAATGCAATAGTAACATGCACAGTAGCATTTCAGACAGAGATAGAGGGCCTGCAGAAGATCTGGAAGCCTCATTTTTTTCTGAGGGGGCCATACATGACTGGATTTTTGCCACAGCACCTGTGGTTCCTTTTGCGAGACAAATGAAACAAAGTTTAAAGGCGGCTAAATTTGTTCCCCGAAAGATTTTAAGTTTAAGAAAAAAAGGTATATATCTATTAACTAACACCACACACTAGAGATTTCAAGTACCCTGGAGATTAAGTCAAGAACAGTGCATACTTAGCAGTGGATTTGAAGCCATTTTTGATACTAAGAGGTACTACAAGAGATAGCTAGTTGCAGAGTTATGACATACCCTGTGTCACACTGTTTTAACGTACAACTGAACGTTACCTGTATTCAGTGAAAAGCTACGCCACAGCTTAAGGGTTACATACATCTTTCATTCCACGATTAAAAAGTTTCTGTTTCAATAGGAAGTCACGTTTGCTCACGTAGAATGAGCTGAAAGAGGTTCGGCTTCATCTCAGTTTGCATGAACACATGCGGCAGAGACTAAGGCTACGAAGAGACCTGAAGAGTCCACTCTTGGCATTTGGAGTCTCCGCTGTGCAAACCTTCCAGGCTTAAGCCCTGTCAAAACCTTCCATCAAAGCTGTTGCCTGTACTACACTTTCAAATAACAGACAAGTGATAAGTGTCATGCAACCACTTCCCAATATTCAAGTGGCTTGAAAATCAGTTTCTGAAGCTGTCAGCTTTTCAAGGTGTAACATGCTGGTCTTTGCTGTTCAAGAACAAAGTGAAGGTGAAAAAATGATCCTTGTTTTACTTTTTCATCCTAAAGTTTTGTGGGATGTTTTGTTGTTACGTTTTTTTTAAAATCCAGTATATTCAAGATTAGGACTGTTTTTGAAAACTGTGCTTTTCCACAGAGTAACTTAATTCTGTAAGCTTCAAGAATGAATACTGAGAGCTGAAGTGATTAAGCTGAACTTGTTTACACTTCTTTATGCGTCACACAAGACTTCATCCTATCGTGTTACTATATACACACGTATTGACAACATGCTTTGGACTCAAATTTTATACACAGGCCCTGACACAATACTGCAAAACCTAAAGCCACATTTAGTGTTGGAAATAATAGCTTGTAGGATTATTCATAGACTAACAAACACTTTAGCATCTCCTATACACAAATGCCAAAATCTTCAGGTGGCATAATCGTATAGAAGATTCAACTGAAAACATTTCTAAGCTTTTTTTTGAATTAAAAAGTGTACCAAGTGCTTTGATCCAGAATGGAAAAAATAAAAAACACTCCCCAAATCTCAGCCTCTGTCTATGCTATTTGTGAAAGTAGAAGAGACTGGACTGAAATACCTTCTGCTAGCAACTAGTGTAGTAAAAGTAAAGAGACAAAAAAAAACAGCTGTAGCAGTTCAAAACTCATCTAGCTCAGCATCTTAGATCTGACAGTAGCTGTAACAAGATGCCAACAGAGAAGTATAAGAATAGGGTAAGCATATTCTGTTACTTTCCTAGTACAGTCTCCAATATTCCAGCTATCTATGACTTGGACATCCCTCGGGAAAGCTTAGGACAAAGCAAAATGGAAAGGAAAGACCTACCTGGAAAAGAGTGATTTAAGTATAGCCGAGCATACATTTAATACCCACCTCCTCACTTCAAATAAATCACATTTATTACCAGCTTTTTTTAAAATAACATGTACTTACACTGCATCACGGGAGGCACCATGCAAAAGCAGCAGCTCAACAATGCTCACATGCCCGTTCTTGGCAGCGTCATGAAGTGGAGAGTCATTCTGATACCCCGTAGTATTCACTAACGCCTTGTATTGTAGCAACAGCTCCACCACTTCTTTGTGCCCGTGATTACATGCCTCGTGCTAGTTGGGTAAATCCGTAAGTAGTAAAGAGAGAAAACTCAAGTGAAACAAAATGCAGGGGAAGGACCTCTGTCACACTGGTTAGTGCATTCATTTTCAAACACCTCTCAGTAGATGGTCGGGGAAGACGACGCAAGAATGCCACATTACATTCCTGACATGAATTAACCTTGGAACCTAACACTAATAAAAAGCACAGAGAAGAACTGAACAAAGGCCAATTGTGTGCAAATTAGACTACAGGGAACAAAGCCTTCCAGATTACAGACTCTGTGAAGAGTATTCTTAAGGAGAGGAAGAAGTCATGGTTGAAAAGAACCTTTTGTTTATTTTCTATAATTCAAGTGAGCAAATTTTTCATTCAACTACTTCATATATTTCCAAAATGGTAAAAGAAACACTGAGGACATTAAGAACCCATAAAATACACACCTTGTCTGCAATTGATCATTATCTAGTTATCATAGTTATATTTTCTGCATTTCCAGAATCACAGGCTGATAGATTTCTTGGCATGCCCTACCCCAGCAAAGGAGAGTTAGATTTGGCCAAGTCAGTAGTTGCTAATAAATTCTTTTGAATTTGTTTATCATCGCTTCTTCAATTGCATAATTCCTTGTCATATAAATGCATGTAAAGGGAACTAAAATATAGGAGAGGAAAGAAGGGATGAAATCAAATCTGATCTGAAGACATATGACAGAAAAAAAGTCTTCAACACTCACCAGTGGTGTCCAGCCAGCATTATCTTTGACATTGGGATCTGCTCCATTTTTCAGCAGCTCTTCAACAGCTGCTAAGTCACCCTACATCAGAAAAACACATAGTTATTAAAAAATGATGAAAATACACAAAGACACCACAGATTTAATAGATGCAGAATTATAAATTTAGCTGCGATGAAAATGTAATGATGCAAGTCTTCCATTTAGATATTGTCAAGATACAAACTCAACTGGTTTGGAGACCACCGTTTATCATTACCGTTCATTTAGAAGCCCCTACACATTTTGCACAAGCGTACATTTTTACATAAAAACAATGCACATAAGACAACGCAGAATAAATGGACAAGTTTTTCCTGATTGCAATCTGTCCACTAGAGTCAACTGCAAAGATTAAAGTCAGGAACATTCATTCAGAAATTCCTTGTCCTTCAGACTGGATTTTTTTCAAACTAATCTAAATAACTGGCTAGGAACATACATAGGTGAAACACATTAATAAGCCTGACAAGCTTCTATAAATTGTCTTTCCACAAGTCAAAAGGAAGAGAGTTTTATTTAACACTGCAATTACTACTCATGTTGAACCTCAGTGACACTTTCTTTGACAGTTGTTCTATTTTCATTTGCTTTTTGGAAGACTATATTCAGTTTTTACTATAAGCAAGGAAAGGTATGAGGAAAAGGAAGCAAGGAAAGGTATGAGGAAAAGGAAGCAAGGAAAGGTATGAGGAAAAGGAAGCAAGGAAAGGTATGAGGAAAAGGGCGGAAACTGATGCAGAGATTATGAGAGGAAGAAAAAGGTTGAGTAGAGACAAGGTGAAGGAAGCAACTGGACAGAGGTTTTGACATTCTTAAAAGGCAAGTATAAGAGAGAAAGCTAGTAATAAGATTGGATCATATACAGATGCAGCTGTAAATAGGCATGGAGAAGCCTCCTGCAGAAGCTGAGGCAAGGAAATCTCTGTGGCGCAGGTTGTCCTAAAGCAGGTGGGAAAAGTAACCCAAAGAGACTAAAACCAAACCGACTCTGAACCCCTTCTCCTTCCACAGCACCATCCACGCCCCCAGCATTGCAGCCTTCCAGTACTTAAAGGGGGCTTATAAGAAAGATGAGGACAAAGCTGGGCAACCAGGTCTAGTGGGAGGTGTCCCTACCTATGGCAGGGGAGTTAGAACTAGATGATCTTCAAGATCCCTTCCAACCTAAACCATTCTATGAAAGTTTTTAAAAGGGCCTGTTGTGATGGGACAAGGGGTAATGGTTTTAAACTAAGAGAGCATAGATTTAGACTAGATAGAAAGAAGAAATGTTTTACAATGAGGGTGGTGAAACACTAGAACAGGTTGCCCAGAGAGGTGGTAGATACCCCATCCCTGGAAACATTCAAGGCCACGTTGGACGGGCCTCTGAGCAACCTGATCTAGTTGAAGAGCTCCTTGCTTATTGCAGGGAAGGATGGACTAGATGACCTTTAAAGGTCCCTTCCAACCCAAACTACTCTATGATTCTGTGTTGGTACTTAAAACTCACTTTGCGCCATTTCAGCCAGTTCCTGCTTCTGGCATTTGTTACTACAGAGTATCAATTGCAAAAGTCTGCTCCTACTGGAAGAGGTGCCATGAATTCTGTTCCAAAATTTTTGCTGCAATGCCAGGCATGCTCTACAGCTGCAGGTACACAACTAAAGTGGCCAGGCTGTACCACACCTCTCAGCATCAGGTACCACCTCTCAGGCCACAGCAATGATTTATCTGCACAATTACAGATTAGGAGCAGTTATGCACCATTTCTCAGCTGATGGGGTAACAGGGAAGGAGACTGACAAATGTCATCTAATGACCAAAACTACCTAAATACTGCAAGCTTTTCAAAAGCTAAGCTAGCATAGTAGACCTCAAGTTTCTGCATGGCTTGCCACCAATCACCAATGTCCCAATTTTATTTGTTGGGATTTTTTTGTTGTTTTGTTTTCTAGGATATCTCCCCTGCAACTAAGCACATCAAGATGACCGCTGGCACTTTCCCTGTATGAGGGCATTGTGATCCACAGTGAAGAAACTAATCTATAAACCGGTATCTAGCTCTAGCCCTTAGCCAAACTTGCAATATATAAATACTAGGACCTGGAAGGGCAAAGAGAAGTTTAATCCATGTTATACAGAAAGTTCTGTGCCCTTAAGTAGTGGCAAGTCAAGGAATTCCTAAATGTTACTCCACAGTATACTTTGGAAAAAGTGAGAGAACATTAAATTAAGCTTTAAATACAACAAAAATAAAGTTAATCCCATTTTTTTTAATCAAGAAACACTTTGGAAAAACAAAATAACTTTAATCTTTACTCTTTAGTGAGAGAAAAAATTCAGACAGACTGCTCAGCAGAAACGAATCCAGCACCCAACAACTGTCAACTCAAAATTCACCAAAAAAATGGTGAGAATCATTGGCTTTACAACAGTCAAGCAAATTAACACATCAGAGATAAGTTTCATGCATTATATTAATAACCTAGATGTCCCAACAAAACGCTACCTTTCAAAGCAATTAAAGAATACACTGCTGTTAGAATACTTTATTGTTGCAAAGTAATAGAAACGCATCAAATCTGCAGAGTTATTCAGAGGCAGCTAACACAGTGCTCAGCATTAGATATTCTTCTACAGCGAGAAGATACAATTATCTATAATGAGTGAGATGTGAGCTTATCATTTAAAGTTAGGTTTGCAAATATGTAGAGCAAGGGTTTGACATTTCAAGAGTACTCCTTTAAAGCAGTAAGCATAGTTAATAATTTGTGTGGGCATTAGGTAGTATCACAGCTTTTCAGAACAGTTACGTGAATGTTGATTTGTAAAAAATTACTGCAGCTTTATCAAAGGAAATGTTGCTGGTATGAACACCAATACTGACAACATTCACAGAATGAAATCCAGGTCTAGGTCAAAATTAGAAAATTGGTATTTTGCTGTTTACAGAAGAAAAATATTGTCATCACCACAGCTGTAAATGGAACCTGCTCCCTGCAACCAGCACCTAGCAATGAGAACGACAGAAAGGGAGGTGAAGCTGTCATGCCCGTTGTACTATGCAATGACTGGATGGATGCTGTCAATCAGGATTACAAGAGATGTTAACACAATTGTTCATAGCTGGGAGAACATGCCTTTTGTCCCCTCAGAGGCTCACAAGGCAGATCCTTAGCAGAGACTTGTTAGTCCCCGCCCCCTCCGCCGAAAGAGGATCACCACCTAAATAGTGATCCAAAAGTTAAAAAAGTGAAGTTAACATATTGACCAGTTCTATCAGAGTTGATGGAATTACTCACACATTTAAAAGTTAATAAATGTTTCGCTCCACTCTAAACAACAAAGCACCTAGTACAGGCAAGTCCAAGCCACAAGTATCTATATACTATGTGTCTTTCCTCCACAAGTAAGAAAGCAGAAGAGATTACACCTATACCCACCTATTGCTTTGAGATTATTAATTCAAACATGCTTCATAAAGTTGTGCTTTGACCAGTATTGAAACAGACTTTGTACATTTAGCCCCTTGAGTTTCCTTTATCTAGCAATGCCAGCATAAAATCACCAGTCCCAAATACGGAGTGACAACCATACCAGATGATACGACGATGGGCCCTCACAGCTTGTCTTAGCAGTCTGTAGCAACAGCAGAGTGGGAACGTAATTGGAGACACTACTTGTTCAGAAGCAGAGAACAGGACAAACACAAGGTAAAAAAAACGCTAACTAACAATTCACAGGGAAGCGTTTATTTTTAAATCTCATTATCAATGAAGGATTACAACCAGCTTCTGAAGTGCCAGAAACTACTGCAGAATGTAAAATTATCCGTTTGGAAGAAACAAAGCAAAGGACATTTTCAGCTTATAACAAAGCTTATGTACAGTGACAACACAATAATGCAATGGGTTTGCTCTTCCTCTGCTACAGCTTAAGGGAGCTCTGAAAACCATGGAAGCAAGAAAGGCATTGGGGCCATCTGTTGGCAGATCTAGAAGACAGCATTAGCTTACACAGAGAAGGGTATTTACACAGCTTTACAAACACTTCCCTCCCAATGAGAATTTAGTTCCTGCAGACGCAGATGGCATAAGCCCAGAAAAACATCCTCTCTTGGCTTAGACAAGGTTTTTTGGTTTGTTTTTTTCCAAGTCAATTGTGTCACGATTTTAATACAGACAGATGGTTAAGAAGAACTGTAAGTGTCCTTTCAGCCCTATTTTATAGGGAGAAGGGCTCCATTTTACCCTTTACTATTTCCATTAACTATAGACGTTTTCCACACAAAAGTCACATTTAAATTATTAAGTTAATGAAAACATATTCTACCAGTTCAAAAGACAGAGATCCAAAGAATTAGGGCTGTACGTAAAGATGAAGCTAAATACCTGTACCACTTCAACCAAACATTTCTCCCTTTATTTGCAAAGGTAACCAAGTGACTTCAATCTTTAGGTCAAACAAATAAACAAAAAAACCCCTTTCAAACCCAAATACATTTGCTTGTTTAAGTTATGGCAGGAGGTGGGAGGGAGAAAACTAGTTTATTTAAAACTCATTTAAAACTCAAAGAGGGCAAATATGAATTACAGAGTGCTTATAGTAACAGTGAATGCTCCAAGCAACTCTTTCCAGGAACCAGTGGGTTTCTCACCTTGAATTTCTCCAAATTAATTCTGTACTCGGCAGACCATTTATTAACTAACAAGCATACAAGTCGCTATGCTTAACTTAACAAAAAGAAGTTTAACCCATCTCAGAAACAAGAGAAGTAACAACCAAGCATTAGCGAAAAAGAAATGACAGTTTGTTTCTAAGTCTTCAAATCAGCACTTGGGAAGACTGATTGCTTTGACTCATGGCCAATTTTCATATTCTTAAATTCTGCATTTAAAACCATTACACTGCTTCATATTTGTCTTAAGCTATCTGCTGGATACCACTCATAATCAGGAGGCTGCTTACCATTCCTGTACCACTTGGCTTTAACATTAGAGAGTCAATGTCAAACTACAACTTCAAAGCAGTCTCAGGTGCTATACCTGCGTCTGAGT